GTGAGGTTAAGATTGATAGCCCAAATCGTTTGATAATAACAATAAGCTTTTCTTCTGGAATGTTAACAACCTAAGTTTGCAGACCAAAATTAGAAAAAAAGGAGGGATACAAGGAAAGCCAACATTTTGGCCCTAGCCTTCTAAGGGCAATTAAGACTCAGGACATATGAGAACTTGTACTGTAACGTCATGTACCTCGGTAGTGTCCCAAATTTTCTGATCAAGAAGATTATGGGGCCAAACAGGAAAGTGATCGATGACATAGAGTGGGCCTAAGGAGAGTCACATGGAGAGAAGACACTCTCTCAGGCTTTCACAGAGAGCACATTGGCCAAGCAATGGCCATGACTCATCCACATGGCTGCACTGATAAAGGTTCTACAATCTGAGGTACAGGATCTCAGGACAAATCCTGAGGGCATTTCATTGACCTTCTCAGACCAAAAAGCTATAACTTTTGTTGCATAGGTCCTGCTTTACCTTGGTCTTAACCATCCTGTAGAAAAGTATGAAGACGAAATATAAGAAATAAAGCCATGCTGTTAAGTTGAGCTGTGGGGGACTCAGGTCAATAATTTCTGACATTGCCAGTTAAACAGAAGACCCAATGCTATTATGGGCTACTGGACTCTTTTAGAATATTTTGCTGAGTTTACACACCTATAATATTCAATAACGGAACTTAGAAAAAATGGAGTATACCGATGAATGTCCATTTTGTATCTGTGTATTCAAAGAGGTTGGGATAGATATATAGTTGCATTCTCTTAATGAATAGAATGATTTGTTCTAATGGTGTTTGTAAATAGGATCACAAGTCCGCATCTTGTACAGCAATTAACCACTAAGAAGAATATATGCAGTGTATTATTTGTTGAAACTGTACTTCCGATTTGATTTGAAACTGTCTCATTGCTATCTGTTTATCAATAAAACTTTGAAAAAAAAAAAGAAAAATATTAAAAGAAAAAAAAAGGAAAAGAGGGAAGAAACAGGAGCCACAGGAGATGGTAACCTGTCTAAGCTATGCTCTTTCCCCAGATTAACCAGGTCTGGGGTCAACCATGTGAAGGGCTCTGGCCACTATCCACAAGCACCCCAGAAATACTGGTTCTCTCTGGCCCAGAGGTAGCACATGCTTATAATTCCACTGCTTTGGGAGACTGAGGCAGGAAGATCACAAGTTTGAGTCTAGCCTCCCTAATGTTTGTTTTTGAAACAGGGACATGTCATGTAGTGCACCCTGGCCTTGAACTTGCTTATGTAGCCCAAGCTGACCACAAACTCAGAGCGATCTTGCTGGCTCAGCCTTCTGAATGCTGGGATCGCAGGTGTGCACCACCACATCTAGTGAGCCTAACCAATTTAGCAATTTATCGAGACACTTGTGTCAAAATAAAAAGTACAGAAGCAGCTGGGGATGTAGCTCAGTGCGTAGGCCCTGAGTGCAGCTGCGGTAGTGCCAGAGCCAGCCCCGGCAGGCAGGGCTCAACCATCCTCTCTGCACTCACAGGAATGTTGGTTCTGGGAGCCAGGATGTCCTGGGACAGGACAGCTGGGCCCTGCTTTCTTCAGCCAATGGCCAAGGACCAAGTGCACATCTGAGAGTGGCTCCGGCTGGCTTGGAGGTCTCAGGTCAGCAGGAGAGAGGTGAAATGCCTTGTTCTTTCAGGCAGCTTCCTGCTACCATGGGAGGGGCTGTCCCCTCCTGCCACATGGGTCCAGACTCAGCCCTTTTCCCACCCACAGATGAGCCTGCCCCCCTCTGTGTACTGCCACCAAGACCCTGTCTCTGGTTGGAACCCAAGCTCTTCTCCTCTCCAGCTTGACCATGCTTTGGAAGCTGGGGATGGGGGTGGTGGTGAGGTCTTCCCTCTACCCTTGGTTCTTCTGCATTTAGGGCAGGGAGAGGGGAAGGGACATGGAGCTCCTGACAGGCCTCAGCCTGGGAGCCCCAGGGCTACTATCGTCACCTATGGCTTCCCAGAGCTCCAGAGACAGGTGGTTAGTGTGGCCCTGCACGAAACCTAGGGGTCTGCTGCCACTGGCTTGAAATTATCAGGTGATACACCAGGTATAGTGGCCATACCTATAATCCCAGGACTCTGGAGGCTGAGGCAGGAGGATCATTGCAAGTTTGAGACCAGCCTGGGCTATGAAATGAACTCAAGGCCAGCCTGAACTGCACCGTAAGACCATCTCAAAAAGGCAAAAAAGAAAAAAAAAAATTCTTAGGTGGTGAGCAGGGTCCCTGGGCTTTACCTTGCACAAAGATCCCTGCGCATTGTGCAGCCAGCCCTGCATGCAGCCCAGTCTGTCACGGCATCGGACCACGTTACACCACACTTCCTGGGTCCCCTGAATCCTGAAGCTGCTGGAGACCCCGACTGGTCACAGAACCCTTCAGCTGAGCCAAGCTCCAGCTGAGAACCAATATAATGTACTCTTGCTTGACAGCACGTCCTTGGTTCCTCCTGGCATCTCATGCCCTCTGGGGCTGGCAGGAGGTAAGGAAGATGTCGTGCTCCCCTGAGGGTCCCTTCTCCCCATCTTCTTTGCTGTTCAGTTAGGGAGGCAAGATTGCGTGGATTCTGACAAGCCCTTCACTGGGGAGAGGTCTGAGGCCAACTGCTGGGCCCACTGACCAAGACAATGGGGGATGGAGGCCTTATAACAGCCAAGAACCCCATTCAAGCCCAGCACCATGGCACACGCCTGTAATACCAGCACTCAGGAGGCTAAGACAGCAGGATTGCTGTGCATTCAAGGCCAGCCTGGAATACACTGCAAGATGTATGTCTCAAAAAAAAAAAAAAAAAAGGAAGGGCTCACTCTTATGCAGAGGCTGGGTTCTCTGGCTGAGCCGGGATAGAGGGACAGTAAATAGAGGCAGCAGCTTGTGCTCTTACTGCTCTTCCTGCCTCCCAGTCTGGGGCACAGGTAGGAGGAGAAGGCAGAGCCAGGGGTCAGTGCTGGCCATGTATTCCAGCCTATTAGCTTCGGGGAGACCCAAGGTCTGAGGGACCAGGAGCTTCAGAGGGCTTGAAGCTGCGTGGAGTTCACACCCTCTCTGCCAGGATTCAAGCTCTCGGCTGCAGCGCTGCCCTGTGAGATAGACAGGTGCCCTGTGAGCCAAGTCAGTTCCTGCAGCATACATGTGCACTCACAGAGAGTCACAGGATAGGATTTTCCCAGCCACTTTGAGTCAGAGGTCTTTGTCTATAGGAAGCGAAGTGGCAACTGGGAAGGGGACGCTGTGCTGGGAAACGGAGACCAGCAGGCCCTGGGAGCAGAGCACGCACTGGTTCCCGTGCTTCAATGCTCTCACCCGAGAGTGGGGCCCACAGGGCAGACTGGGGCGCCAGGGTATTTCTATGGCCCCTGGACTTTCTGTAGGACAGAAGAGCACCACCCTGCCTGCCCCAGGTGGCAACATGGTCTCCAACCTGCCCACTCATGGTCCTCCCCGAAAGCCTCCCACCTACCAGATCAGGGTCACAGTCATGAGAACAATACTGGACAGGCCAAGCAGCAGGGACAGGGGTGTGTGGGGCCCTGTTCTCCCCAAACTGGGCCACTGTGGGCCTTTCATCTCCTGTCTTCCTCTCTGGGCCACTCCTTTGCTCCAAAGCCGGCCTTTGCTCTTCCCGACCCGCCAGCCCCAGTGCAGCAATTACTGCGCTAATTAGGAGGCTTTGATCATCTTTAGAAATGGCCACATAGAGCAGGGAGGCTGCCAAGCAATTAGGGCCAGCGAGGCTGGAAGCATAGGGCCATCCTCGGGACTGGGGTTGCCAAGGACCCCCAGACACCCCCTGCTTGCCTCCCTCCAAAAGTGTCTGCCCCCAACATAACTGCAGACTCCTGGGGGGCATAGGCAGATGGGGATCCCCCAGCCCCAGCCCCCAGCCCCCCTCTGCCTGGCCTTGAGCCCAACCGTCAGCTCCTCTTCCCTGTCTGGGCCTCTTTGATGGAGCCGCAGGAACAAGGGCTCCTTTGACACAAGGGGGGCTCAGAGCGGGGCTATGAGACTTCAAAGGTGAGGGTCGAGCCCACTACCTCATTCCCTACCCCGACCCCAACCCTGGCCCCCTCCTGCACACCCCTCGTCCTCTATATAGCCCCTGCCACCCCACTCTCTCAAGGCTCCTAGTGGGTGAGGGCCAGGTGAGCTGCAGCCCAGGCAAGCGGGGAGTTCGGATGTAGGAAAACAGGGTCAGCCCATGCCCAGGGGCAGAGGAGCAGCAAGAGGCAGGCACAAGAGGGTAAGCACTGCTGGCGTGGCCCCGGAGGAGAGGAGATGGACCTCCTTGCCACCATGCTGCTGGCTGCATTGCTACCTCTGCTCCTGCCCCTCCTGCAGCCCTGGGCTGCCCACGCACACCCCCTGTACATGCGCCTCCCCCCCAGTACCCTGCAAGGTGAGCCAGGCTGGTCTCAGGCAGGAAGAGCTTATGGGAGGTGGGGGTGGGAAAGAAATAGGGGCTTGTCACTCCCTGACCTGTGGCCCTTTCTACCCACCTGCTGGATGAAGGGGCCAGGAACTTGGTATGGGAAGGAGAGGAGGGGCAGCTGCTGACATGGGACATAGAGCTGGTCAGTCCTGTTGAGGGCTTTTAGAGAATGCCAGAGTGGTTGGTAGGTGGGGACTGGGAGCAGCACCACCTCCACTTACAGGTAGGCACCTCACTTGGTCACCTTGTGTCAACAGGCTTGGACTCTCCGATGTCTGGATCTTGAAGCAATGTTTTCCTTTTGAAGTGTTTTGTTTTTGTTTTGTTTGCAGTACTGAGTCCAGAGCCTTTGCCTAAACACATTTTGTATTTTTTTGTTTTGAGACAGGATTTCTCTAGGTTGCTAAGTTGTTCAGGTTGAGGTGGAACTTGAGATCCTCTTGCCCCCACCTCCCAGAGTGCTGGGATTGTAGATATACATCCGCCACACCTGGCTTCTGGTTTTTAAGAAAAGGCGCTCTGCAGAGATTCTGAGTCTGGGATTATCTGTTCTGGAGGTTGGGCTTGAGACCCTGGGGTGTTCTTGGTGCCCAGACTCCTTCCCTACAGCCTCCCATGGCAGGACTTGGAGCCAGACCAGAAGGTTGCACTGAGGGTCTTGCCAACCTTGGATGCTCTATGTCCCATGTCCCAGCAGTTCTGTCGGCCCAGGGGACCCAGGCCTTGCAGGCTGCCCAGAGGAGCGCACTATGGGCGGTGAAGCGAGTGGCCATGGATCTCCAGCTCAGACTGCATGAGTGTCAAGGTCTGGACTGAAGCCCCAGCCCAGTCAGCAAACCCCTCCAACCCTATACCCTTTGACAGTCCCTGGGTCCCAGGCCTTTAGACTCTATACCCTCTGGGACACAGACATGGGGCCTGCCCCTGCGAAGGTAGGGTGGAGGCCCCAGCCTGGCCCAATGCTGACCGCCTGAGCAGGGGATGGGGTGCAGGGGACAGGGGGAGAAGGTGGCAGTGACACTGGAAGCAGCTATTTCTCAGCAGGACCTGGATACCCCAGGCCTCAAGCCCAGCTCCTCCAGGATCCACCTGAGCCAGGTGAGGCAAAAAAGGTTGGTGGGGTAGGTGGGCCTGGACGTGGCTAGGACTTGCTCCTCAACGTCGCCTCTACCACTTCAGGTCCTTGTGGCGAAAGGAAGCCAGTTGCTGCCAATGTAACCCAGACTCACGGCCGCATCGTGGGGGGCAGAGCAGCCCCGCCTGGGGCTTGGCCCTGGCTGGTGCGGCTGCAGCTCGGCGGGCAGCCTCTGTGCGGCGGCGTCCTGGTGGCGGCCTCCTGGGTGCTGACAGCGGCGCATTGCTTCGTGGGGTACGTCGACTCCTGAGTGCAGGCCTGCCAGCATCCCCAGTACACCTACCAGCGACGCGCCGGAGAGCCGGTCTCTGCTGCCCCCTGGCGGAAACCAGGCCTGACCTCCAGGCGCGCACGCTCAGGCAGCGGTGTTGACTCCAGGGCAGCCTCTCTCTGACTTGCCCTCCCTGCGCCCCCAGAGGCACGGATTCCCTAGGGGGTGTGGGTGTGCTCCCCAGGGACCCGGGCTCCAGGCGCATTGTCGTGCCCATCCTGCGTGTCACCAGCCACTTTCCCCGCAGAGCCTCCAATGAGCTCCTGTGGACTGTGGTGCTGGCTGAGGGGCCCCAGGGGGAGCAGGTGGAGGAAGTGCCCGTGAATCGCATCCTGCTCCACCCCAAGGTGAGGGTCAGACCCAGGCCCACAGAGCTGAGGTCAGCACCCCAAACTCAGCCCCTGACCTTTCTCTGTCCCCGCCCCAGTTCGACCCGCAGACTTTCCACGGTGACCTGGCTCTCGTGCAGCTGTGGACACCTGTGAGTCCAGCGGGGTCCGCGCGCCCAGTGTGCCTGCCCCAGGCGTCCTCAGAGCCCCCTGCCGGCACTCCCTGCTCCATCGCAGGCTGGGGGGCTCTCTTCGAAGGTATTGGGGGACTTTGGGTGAGCAGAGGAAGAATGAGGGGCTGAGGAGATAGTTTGGAGAGGTTGAAGTGTAAGGGCCAGCAGAAATGCGCCCGGATCTCACAAAGGGGCAGGGCCGCGGAAGAGGAGCCCAAATGCGGGCACCCCGCCAAACCCGAGCCCCTTCTCTTCCCTGCAGACGGGCCTGAGGCTGAGGCAGTGAGGGAGGCCCGTGTTCCGCTGCTCAGCCCTGACACCTGCCAAAGGGCGCTTGGGCCCGGCCTGCGCCCCAGCTCCATGCTCTGCGCAGGTTACCTGGCGGGGGGCATCGACTCGTGCCAGGTAGGCGAGCAGACCGCGTGGTGTGCTGTAGGGCTGCTCTCCCCCAGGGTCGGACTGTCCTTCGGCTTGTCTGAGCTACTGTGTCCTCCTGGCTAACTTAGGGACGCTTGGCGATTTCAGAGCCACCACCTAGAAGCCCTTCTGGGGCCTCTTGGCTACTCCTCTCGCGAAGGCCGGCAGGGGGCGTCATAACTGTTCTGGTCCCTGCGAGTTCTGAGCTTATTTCCTCAACTGCTCTCTTGCTCCCCCCTCTCTCTGCCCTTGTCCGGTAGGGTGACTCTGGAGGCCCCCTAACCTGTTCTGAGCCTGGTCCCCACCCCAGGGAGGTCCTCTTTGGAGTCACCTCCTGGGGGGACGGCTGCGGGGAGCCAGGGAAGCCTGGGGTCTACACCCGAGTGGCTGTGTTCAAAGACTGGCTCCAGGAGCAGATGAGCGGTAGGCGCCTCCTTTCGCATGCCCTCTCCTCCGTGTGCCCTCGCAGCTCCGTGTCCGTGCTCCGCGTGGTCCCCAGTTCCCCTCCGCCACTGGAAAGCCTTCCAGGGGAGGGTTGCGGAAATCAGGGTCCCGAACAGGGCGTGACCTGGCCCCTGGCTCGCCCGCAGCGGACGCTTCCACGCGCGAGCCCAGCTGCATGGAGCTTCTAGCCGGATCCCCGCCCGAGGAAAACCCAGCCGACACCGCCCGGCTCTGCGCCTTCTACGCGCGCCGGTGCCCGTTGTCCGAAGGCGCCTGTGCGCGCTTGGCCCGCCAGCAATGCCTGCAGCGCTGGCGCCGGTGTGGTAGGTCCCGGGACCCCGGGGATGGGGAGGGGATCCCTGGTCGCCCCCGGCCCCCTCAGCCCCTCACTTGCCCTGCAGAGCTGCGCTCGCTGGCGCACAAGCTGCTGGACCTGCTGCGGAGAGCGCAGGAGCTGCTTGGCGTACGCCCGGTGCTGCGCCGCAGAGCCCTAACCCTGGCCCGCCCCGTCCCGTCGCTGCGGGAGCCCCCAGAGTCTGCAGCCCTCGAGCAGCGGCTGAACTCAGGTACCCCACGTCCCCTGCCTCACCAGCCCCGGTCCGAACCCGCGGCTTCCCCAAACTCTGCATCTTCCCAGGACCACGGTCTTCGAGAGCGCGGTTTCAGAAGCGGAGGCCAGAGCCCCGCGGGAGCATGAACGGTAACGACGCCCCTGCGGGCCATAGGGAGAGTAGCCCAGCTGCCAGCTGAGGCCGAGGGCCTGGGGGCGGGGGTCTGTGCTAGAAAGGCACACCCCACGGGACAACAGGCCAGACCTGCTCTTACCCTCCTCCTGGTATAGTGGCAAGCCTTGGTAGGGGCTTGGGTCTGTGGGTGGCCCTCAGTGTCAAACACTAGGCCTCGTGTTACTACGTGGCCACTCAGATTCTCAGTTTCCTCACCTGTAGCACGCACAGGATGTCTGCCCTGGAAGGTGGTCCCGGGTTGCGGTGGGAGGCCCGACCGCAGCTCTCTGTGATGTGGGGGCCTCTCTGCTTCCTGAAGGCTGCCCTGGGCTGGAGCCTCTGCGACAGAAGTTGGCTACCCTTCAAGGTTCCCATGCCTGGATCCTGCAAGTCCCTTCAGAGCAGCTAGCCATGCACTTCCAGGAGGTGGGGCCCCAGGCTCCCAGACTTTCCCCCAAGGTGGGGGGGGGATAGTGGGGGGTGTCGCAGAGGACCTTCCATCAGGAGAACCTTCCCCCTCCAGACTGGGTAAGGGCAGGGATCCAAAGAAAAGGGACTAGGTAGGGGGTTCCTGTGGGTGATGGGGCCCCAGGCAGGGGTAGAGGAGAGATAGGCAGAAGGGAATGAATGCGCCTGGAGACCATAGTGTTCAGTGAAATAAATCAGACACATGAGCTTAAATAATGCAGTCTTTCCCTGTGTAAGAAGCCCAAAATACGGTATAAGTGAATTAAGAGCAAAATAAAAGGTAATAGGAAATGGAGCTAGGGCTTTTGCAAAAAGTGGGCAGTGAAGAGAAGGGGAGAGGACTGCAAACATATACTACTAATAATTAAAGTGTTTAAAAAGAAGGGCCCTGGGGTGTCCAAATTAGTTTTGTGGTAGGAAATTCAGGACTAGATGAGTTTCTGGGGAGAGAGAGGAAGGAGTTGACTCCAGGATTTCCTCTGGGGAGTGTTTTTTGAGCCCCTGACCCCCCTCTCTGCAGGTGCTGGCCGACTTGAGCTCCAAGACACTGACAGGCCTCTTCAGAGCGTGGGTGCGTGCAGGCCTGGGGGGCCGCCGTGTGGCCTTCAGTGGCCTGGTGGGCCTGGAGCCGGCCACACTGGCACGCAGCCTCCCACGGCTGCTGGTGCAGGCCCTGCAAGCCTTCCGCTCAGCTGCTCTGGCTGAAGGCCAGCCCTCGGAGCTGGGAGGGGCATGAAGGGGGCTGCCCCAGGCCAGCGCCACAGAGGGCACCCACTGCTCTCAGGAGCTAGAGGGCTGGAGTGTTTGACATGTCACTGTCCCCAAGGACCTGCACCTGTTGGTGGGTCAGGGTCCTATGTCATCCCAGATGTGTGATCAGAGATTCACAGCTGCTTTAATAAATGTTATTTATAAGCCACAGAGACACTCGCGCTTCCTTGGAATGGGGTGGGGTGAAAGTCATCAGCTGGGGGTCAGTCACCAGAGGCATTTGGCAGAGGTCACTGAGGTCTCAGGGGTGGGGGCAGCTCCACTCTGAGCATATCTGCTGCCTAGAGAAGGGGCAGCAGCTGGCCCACCTGTCATCACCCACTGTGGCTGACCAGCACTCCTCCCTCCCTGCTGCCTGAGCTGGCGCCCAGCTGGCTGTCCCCACCCCCTCATCACCTTCCCAGAGAGTCAGATTGCATTTCCGGCTCTTCTCCCCTTGGCTCCTCCACCCCCACAGACACTTGTCCCCTCTCCCGCCCTCTCCCGCCCACCATCAGTCCCAGGCCTACAGACGGGAGGGGTGGACACAGGACCTGGTCCTCAGTTGTCCTGCAGGATGGAGGGCCCTTTTCTGGCACTAGCACTACTGGTTGCCCTAGTTGTGAGCGGTAAGGGCAGACATCACCCCCGCTTGTAGGGTCCCTCATTCACCCCCAGGTCTCCTACCGCATGACCTTCTCCCTGGGTTAATGCCCAACTCCCCACTCCCACTCAGGCACCTCTGCCTGCCCCCTTCGCTCAGGGCCACTCCATCCCACCCTCCCCAGGTGGCTGGGCCCTAAACCAGGAGGAGCGGCTGATCCGGCACCTGTTCGAAGAGAGAGGCTACAACAAGGAGCTGCGGCCCGTGGCCCGCAAAGAGGACAGCGTGGGCATCACACTGGCCCTCACCCTCTCCAACCTTATCTCCCTGGTGAGTCCCCCTGCCAGGCAGGCTGGGCTGGGCAGGGACAGGGTCAGCTTCTCTGGGACCAGGTGCCCCTGATAGCCTCCTTCCTTGGAAACCTGCTCTGGGCTGTGCTCTGCAAAGCCCCTGGTGCCAGAAGGCTTCCAGCACCCAGGCATGTGCCACTTCCCCTCCAGCTTCAGGTATGGGATGTGCCCTGACACCCCCACACCATGCCACCTCCATGCCACATCTCAGCAGCAGTCTGTTTGCCCTCCCTGATGGTCACCAGTGCCTGGCTGCCCATGGGTCCCGGTGGTGCCAGCCAAATGAGGTGCCCAGTGGGTGGGGGAAAAATAGGGACCTTCCACGGCCAGCCCTGCTGTCTCCCTGCAGAAAGAAGTCGAGGAGACACTCACCACCAACGTCTGGATGGAGCACGTAAGAAACCCTAGGTGCAGGCTGGTGGGTGCTGGCCTCAGCTCCCCTGTGCTCTCACCTTCCTGGGGAGCCCCAGCCCCCCTCCAGGAGGTGTGGCTCTTCCCCCCAAAGGTCTCTAGGCCAAGCCACCCTTTTTTCCCATCTAGTCTTTTGTTAGGTGCCTTTAAGAGGATTAGGGCTGAGCTGAGGGAAAATTGTCACTTTATCCTGATTTTTATCAGGAAGCACTCTTCTAATAAAAGTGTCAGAAATGTCAGAAGTTCATAAAATGGACACAGATCTTCTCTCCACATGGAAATGGTGTTCCCATGGTGGTGCAGCGTGCAGCCTGCACAACTGTCTGTGGCAGACCCGAGGCCCCTGATTTTCCCTGTCTCCCCACAGCTCTTCAATCACAGCTCTCAGACACTGCTCAGCCTTCCCCTGGGAAGTGGGGGCCCTGGGGGAGGCTGGGCAGTGGTGGGGCCCCCTGCTCAGTGCCCTGGGCCTTCCAGGGCTGGGTGGACAGCCGGCTGCAGTGGGATGCCAGCGAGTTCGGGAACATCAGCGTGCTGCGCCTGCCCTCTGACATGGTGTGGCGCCCAGAAATCGTGCTGGAGAACAAGTTGAGTGCAGCCTGGCAGCTGTCCTCCAGACGCTGTCCTCGAGGGTCTCAGCCTCCCCTACGCCGAGCCCGCCTCCCCCTGCACCTCCCCAACCCTGCCTGTTTCTGTTTCCATTTCTGACTGGCCAGGCCTCACAGTGTCCTTGTCCTTGTCCCCCAGCAATGACGGCTCCTTCCAGATTTCCTACTCCTGCAACGTGCTTGTTTATGACTCTGGATACGTGTACTGGCTGCCACCCGCCATCTTCCGCTCCTCCTGTCCCATCTCGGTCACTTACTTCCCCTTTGACTGGCAGAACTGTTCCCTCAAATTCAGGTGCACCCCTTCTTCCAGCCACCCTACCCCGAGCACCCTGCCACAGCCACCTCTAGCAGAAGCCCCAGCTGCTCCTGCTCAGAGCTGCCCTCTTCCCATGGTCTCCATATCCCCTGCTGGTGACCAAGGGTCACTTCTGCCCACTGCTGTCCCCAGCTCACTCAAGTACACGGCCAAGGAGATCACGCTGAGCCTGAAGCAGGAAGAGGAAGACGGCCGTGCCTACCACGTGGAATGGATCATCATTGACCCCGAGGGCTTCACAGGTGCCTCTGGAGGCGGGCAGCCCGGGACACACACAGATGCATCACATTGACACCTCCAGGACACTCAGCACAGGGTGAAGGTGCCCCAAGGCCATCCTGGGGGGGAGCAGCCCTCCTGGGCCTACCCAAGCTGGAAGACCAGAGGATGGACATGGGGACAGAGGAGAGGGTGGTTGGGGCAGGGCTGCGCCATCCAATGAATGTGGCACCTCTGTACCCTGACTGTACCCAGCCGCACCGCTCAACCTTGCTGGCCTCTGTGCTGGGACATCACAGGGACAGGGGCTCCATTATCTCAATACCAAGGCCAGAAAGGGACAGCTCAATTAAAATCAGCTTAGCTTTTTTAAATTTTATTTTTATTTTTTATTTAGGAAGACATACGTAATAACTGAGAACCTTTTTAAAATTCTCACGCTTTTCTAAATTTTTTTTCTTTTTAATTTTATCTTCTCAAGCAGCACCTAACCTATTTTTGTCTTGTGACATCAGTTGAGCCAATACTCACTCCTTATTGGGACCCTGTAGAGCCTCAGCTTCTATTTTTTCCAAAGAGAGAGAGAGAGGAAACAAGAAGCCAGCTGTGGCAGTACACACCTGTGATCCCAGCACTCGGCATGCTGAGAATGGAGGGTCGCTGGAGTTCAAGGCCAGCCTGGGTACAGAGTGAGACTTTGTCTCATAAAACAAAACGGAAACCAGAGAGAAAGAGAGATAGAGAGACGGAGGGAGGGAGGGAGGGAGACAGAGAGAGAGAGAGCGAGAGAGACCGAAAAAGAGACAGCCAGGGACAGAGGGACAGAGAGAGAGAGGGAGAGGAAGAGGGAGAGAAGGAAGGAGAGAGACAGAGACAGAAAGAGAGAGGGAGAGACAGGGAGGAATGGAGGGAAGGAGAGAGAGAAAGAGACAAAGAAAGAGAGAAAGAGACAGAAAGAGAGAGAGAGACAGGGACAGAAGGACAGAGAGAGACAGGGAGGGAAGGAGGGAGGGAGAGACTCAGAGAGACAGACAGAGGTAGAGAAAGAGAGTGATAGATGGAGTGTGGGGAGGGAGAGACAGTGGGAGAGAGAGACAGAGACAGGGACACAGAGGGAGACAGAGAGGGAGAGAGACAGAGACAGAGGGACAGAGAGGGAAGAAAGAAGAAATCAATCAGAGGAAGCCCTCCCCCCACACACACAGAGAAAACACCAGCCCAACCCCTGGAAACCCCAGACAGAACCCCATGCCCTTTCTGCACCTGCCCTGAGGACCCTGCTAGCTCTGCCCCACCCTGGCCTCAGCTCCCCAGCCCCCTGAGCCCCCACCGTGCCATCCTTGTGCTACCCGCAGAGAACGGGGAGTGGGAGATTGTTCACCGGGCAGCCAGGGTCAACGTGGACCCCAGTGTCCCGCTGGACAGCACAGGTCACCAGGACGTCACCTTCTACCTCATCATCCGCCGCAAGCCACTCTTCTACATCATCAACATCCTTGTGCCCTGCGTGCTCATCTCCTTCATGGTTAACCTGGTCTTCTACCTGCCGGCTGACAGTGAGCAGGGCCCATCTTTTCCAGTCCTACAGCCTGGCCAAACCCACCAGTGGGGCACTGCAGCCCTAACCCCATTTGCCCTGGGATCAGGCCAGTGGCCAGTGGCTGGGGGGCCCTGCCCAGTGACACCCCCAGTATGCAGAGCAGGGCCTCTCTGGGTGCCCACAAAGCCTTCTTCCTAGGGACCCAGGAGAACAGCTGCACCATCCTGCTGCCAGGCCATAGTCTGCCATTGTTGTCTCTGCAAGGCCTGGGTACCAGCTGTTGGCCCAGTGGTTGGCTAGGGGTCTAGGGCCCAGGGATAGTCAGCCTGGTCTCCAGAGAGGTGAATCCACAATATCAGGGATTCAGAGGCCACCCAGCTCCTGCAGGAGGCAGGCCAGGTGGAGTCCACTAGACTGGGTGGGACAGGGTGGGGCGGGCAGAGCTTTTCAGGGCAGACGGGAGGTCCAGTGCGGAGGCTCAGATGGGCAGTGCAGGTGGTGCTGGGCTGCGGTTAAAGGGCGCATGTTGGGTACTGTGCAGACACAGCAGGAAATGAACTCCACAGATCTGTGCTTCAGAGACTTGGATGGCAGAGCGTGGGCCATCGTGGCAGTCAGGGTTACACTGAGCACTTACCCAACAGGCAGGGAGAGGTGTACTCAGCTTGCAGGCTCACGCTACACTGAACAGTTGGGAAGACAGGCAAAGAGATGAGCCCACCTGTCTAAGGTCACCCAACTGGTTAGTGGCAGACCAGGATTTGAACCCAGGCCCTAGGCTGGGTCCTAGGCTGTGGCCTAGGATGCTTATCAGGACACCATGGTGTTGGGAACAGTGGTGGCAGGGCTACAGCAGGGGAACCCCATAGGCCTGAGGTCTGAGGGTGCAGCCACCCCACTCTGGCTTCCTTAGGTGGTGAGAAGACGTCAGTGGCCATCTCAGTGCTGCTGGCCCAGTCTGTCTTCCTGCTGCTCATCTCCAAGCGGCTGCCCGCAACCTCCTTCGCCATCCCGCTCATCGGCAAGTGAGTGCCATCTGTGTAGCCACGCCCCCACGCCCAGCCCACCCCAGCTCAGGCTGAGTGCTGCCCGCAGGTTCCTGCTCTTTGGCATGGTGCTAGTGGCGATGGTGGTGGTGATCTGCGTCATCATTCTCAACATCCACTTCCGGACACCCAGCACCCACGTGCTGTCCGAGGGGGTCAAGAAGGTGAGCACCAAGCCGGGCGCTCTGCACTCTGAGAGGCTGAGGTGGGAGGATTACAAGTTCAAATTCAGTTGGGGCAACTTAGCCATTTAGCAAAAGCCTGTCTAAAAACAAGAGCAAAAGACGTGCTGAGGATGCTTAGTCTGTGAGCTTATGACATTGCAGGTAAAAGTAGAAAGGACTGGCTGTGGCAGAGGACTTACCTAGCATGAGTTCCAGCCCCAGAAATAGAAAGAAAAAGAAAAAGAAAAAAGGAAGGGCTGAGAAGGTGGCCAGGTGCTCAGAACACGGTGTCCCTGGCCTCCTGGCATCACAGGGGCAGTGGCCGTTCTGGGTCCGCAGGAGTAGTTTTGAGGCTCTCTTTTCTTCAAGCGCTTGGAGAAGCGAGCTCAGGGCTTGGGCATGGGTGTCACCCTTGTTCTTTGATTTTATTTTTAATGACAATGACTAACTTCTGCTCAGTGGACTGAGCGACAAGGAAGAGTTAGAAGCAACTTAAGTGTCCATTGGTGGGGGATTGGGGAGCAGGTAGCAGGGTCAGATGGAAATGGCTATGGTCAGCAGGAGTGGAGCTAGACACTAGGGTGTGTAAAGGCCACCCCACATTCCTCATATTCCCATGGCTGCTGAAGATCTTCCTGGAGACCCTACCCACGCTCCTGCACATGTCCCGGCCGGCAGAGGAGGGGCCCAGCCCTGGGGCCTTGATCCGGAGAAGTAGCTCTCTGGGATACATCTCCAAGGCAGAGGAGTATTTCTCGCTCAAGTCCCGCAGTGACCTCATGTTTGAGAAGCAGTCAGAGCGGCACGGGCTGGCTCGGCGCCTCACCACTGCACGTAGGTGACCTCAGGGCATGGCCTACAATTGGAGGTGGGCAGGGGGAGGCTTCACACCCCACTCTGGCCCCTGTCCCCAGGCCAGCCCCCAGCAAGTTCTGAGCAGGCCCAGCAGGAACTCTTCAATGAGCTGAAGCCAGCTGTGGATGGGGCCAACTTCATCGTCAACCACATGAGGGACCAGAACAATTACAATGATGTGAGTGGCCACGGGGTTGTCACACACAGGCGTCCAACCTGTGTGCTGAGCAAGCGTCACCCATCTTACAGGTCCACTTACACATACCTGCCAGCTTACATGGGGGTGCTCATGGCCCGTGCAGATTTCCAGGTGTGTGTTCTCTCAGGCACACTCAGTTACACACAGTCTCCCAGCCCCACCCTCTTTCCATCCCATCTTGCCCTAGATGCCAGTCATTTCTGCCCCTGCCCAGCTCCATGTCCTCTACTCCAGACCGAGCAGATATTTAAAAGGAGACCATGGCAGCTGTTCACAATCACACAACTTGGACCTTCTCCAGAACAAAGGCCACCTATGGGTGGCACTTGGAGGGGTGGGGAGGGCCGAGCAAGGGTGGGGGCCAAGGCTGGGGCCCCCTGTGGCCCAATTTCCTCCTCTGCAGACACGATGGTCTGCCCTGCTCCTGGCCACAGGGCCTGGATCTTGCTGGGGACGAGGCCAGCGAGCCCTGTCCCAGCTTGTCTACTGCCACTTGAAGCAGAGGAGGCTCCCATAGACACAGGGAGGCCAGGCCCCTCCTCCTCAGCTGGGTCTGGGGTGCAGTGCTGGCCTGCACTGAGACCCCCTAATCACTTCTTCCAGGAGAAGGACAGCTGGAATCAGGTGGCCCGCACAGTGGACCGCCTCTGCCTGTTTGTCGTGACACCTGTCATGGTGGTGGGCACAGCCTGGATCTTTCTGCAGGGCATCTACAACCAGCCCCCACCCCAGCCTTTCCCTGGGGACCCCTTCTCCTATGATGAGCGGGACCGGCGCTTCATCTAGCCACTGGAATGGTGCACCTGGGAGAGTGGCTCTTGAGGGAGCTTGGGGTCCATCCCTGAGCTGGGTGATGTACACCTGTCATCCAGCATGTGGGAGGCTGAGGCAGGAAGATCACTGTGAGTTCAAGACCAGCCTGAACCGTACAGAGATCCTGTCTTAAAGCAAACAAAAAATCCCTGTGGCTGCTGTCTCACTCATTCTCATGCACATCAATTGGCCCTGATGCTTGGGGAAGCTGGGGTGCATGGCGAGCAGCCACATGTGTGAACATGGAGGTGACCCCTCTCCCAAAGGGCCCCCACAGGGGATCCCAGCCCCATAGAAGTCCCTAAGCTAGAACCCTCCAGTGAGGCTACCCCTGGACCAGATCCTCAGAAACTGTGTGAGAAAATAAATGTTTCGTTTTAGTGACTGTGATTGGGGCGATTTGTTATGCCAGCAGTGGGACCCTGGGTGAGTCACACCCATCCCTTGACCCCTGCTTTCTCATCTGTGAGGTGTGAGGAGTACGTTCTGCTGAGGTGTTGTGGACATCAAATTCGGAGCCAGGCTTGGTGACCCACTGGCTCACTGTCTCCACAGCTCCAGCCATTTGCCTCAGAGGGACTGGGCAGCCTCATTCGCTTTGACAGGCATCAGGGGACATTTTTCATTTTCAGGCCCCCACCTTGCAGTCTCCCAAGACCTGAGAATCAGGACTGCCATGTCCATGTTGAGCGTGGCTGCTCTGCCTCACGGAGGCGCTAAGGCGGCGGGTCTCGGCAGGTCCACTGCAGTCTCCTTGGACCTCCTTGTCCTGGCCTGCCCCAGAGTTGCATGCACTCCCAGGGGAAGCCTCCCCCACAGGGGCCCAGAGCAGGGTCCTACAGTCAGTCCCTCCAGGGCAGCAGGGCTGTCTCCCTCTCTCAGTGGGCAATGAATCCATTAGGAGCACCCTGGGCTGCAAGGAACAGAAGCCATAATGAGCCATAGCCATGAAACAAAGGTCTCCTTTTTCTTTCTTTCTTTCTTTCTTTCTTTCTTTCTTTCTTTCTTTCTTTCTTTC